ACATCGCCAATAGACGGCATTTGGTTTTTGAATTGAACAGAGACCCCATCCCCCCACCCCTCCCCATGTGCCACAGATGCCCCAGATAACGAACCAACACACCATGGGGTTGGAAAATGCCGCCCTAGCACGCTACTCCAGTGTCGCCGAGTAGAGCCGCCAAAGACCACGCTTGCAACGCTAAATGATCCCTACACATACGCTCAACGCCCCATTGCCCACATCCACGCAATCAGCAGCCCACGCCAGCCCCACATTCCGCCCATTCTCCTCACGACCCCCACCCATGCCCTAAACGCAACGACCCCCACCCATGCCCTCAACGCCAAAGCATCGACCCCACCCACGATTCAACGCCAAACGACCCCACCCACGCCCCACATTCCCCGCCCATTCTCACCTCACGACCCCCCATGCCTAAACGCAACGACCCCCACCCATGCCCTCAACCGCCAAAGCATCGCAAATCAACGCAAACGACCCCCACCCACGACATTCCCGCCATTCCACTCACGACGCCACCCTGCCCCCAATGACCCCACCCATGCCCTCAACGCCAAAGCATCTGACGCCCACCACCAACGCCCGACACGATTCCCCCCACCCATCAACGACCCCACCATGCCCTAAACGCAACGACCCACCCATGCCCTCAACGCCAAAGCATCGACCCCCACGACTTCAACGCCAAACGAACCCCCACACGCCACATTCCCCGCCCATTCCCACCTCACGACGCCCAACGCCATGCCTAAACGCAAATGCACCATGCCCTCAACGCCAAAGCATCGACCCGCCACCCACGACTTCAACGCAAACGACCACCCAGCCTCCACATTCCCCGCCCATTCCACCTCAGACCCCCACCCATGCCCTAACAACGCAACGACCGCCACCCATGCCCTCAACGCCAAAGCATCGACCCCCACCCACGACTTCAACGCCAAACGACCCCACCCACTTCCCACATTGCCTCACGACCCTTACCCATGCCCTCAACGCAACGACCCCCACCCACGACTTCAACGCCAGACGCCCCCACTCACGCCCTCAGCAGATAATTAAGAAACGACACATCCAAACGTTAACAGCAGCACATAATCGCCTATGTTGCAGAGTGCTGCGGTGCCTCTGCAACATTGGCTATATCTGTCAGGAGACTGTAAGTGGTTAGGCTGCTGCTGCATCTCAGCATGAGCCCCCGAAACGGACGCTTTGTGCTTCATGTACTTCTATCCATTCCTTCCCTTCATTCATTCATCCATTCTTCATTTTTTCTCATCCTCTTTTCATTCCTCCTTTTCTTTCTTCTTCCTTTCTTAGTGAGAGAGAAACGAGGCGTTTTGTGGTTTATGTACTTATCTCCATTCCTTTCCTTCGTCCTTTCATTCATTATTTTTTTTTATCATCCCCCTCCATTCCTCCTTTTTCCTTCTTCCTCTTTTGGTGTGTGAGTCGATCAGTTAGTTTTCTGTTTAGTCAGTTAGTCACTCACAAACTTGCACACGTCAGCTAGTCATTTGGCAAACTAGTATTTAGTCAGCAACCCAGACAGCAGTCAGTCAGACAAGTCAGTCAGGTAGGAGCAGCTAATCAGTCCGTCAGCCAGGCAGTCACTCAAGACAAGTCAATTACTCAATCACTCAGCCCTCCAGTTAGTCGGTCGGTCAGTTAGTCAGTCAATCAGTTATTCACTTACTTACCCAGCCCGCCAGTCAGTCAGTCAGTCGCTTACTCGGCACACCAGTCAGTCAGTCTGTCGGTCAGTCAGGGAGACTCGCCACTCCGGCCAAGCAAACCCTCTCAAAACAAGGCTCTCAAGGAAGCGAGGCTGGCCGGCGCTCGAGTGCGGGCCGTTTTTTGGGCGGACCGCCGCTGGAGGGCGAGCACGAAGGCGAAGGAGGCGAAGGAGGCGGCGAGGAGGATCTGCAAAGAGGCGCGAGGGATTCTTCAAAGGATTTGTGAGACTTTGTATTTGTGATTTTTTCTCGAAAGTGTTGGGGAAGAGGATGGTGGTCTTGCGTAGAAGAGGAAGAGTGGTGATTAGAAACGGGCGAGGGAAAGGAAAAAGTAGGGAGAGAAGAAAAGGGGAAAAAAGAGAGAGAAATAAAGAGAGGAGCGAATGAGAGAGAGAGACTCGGCAAATTTGGTTCTTCCAGACGCCTCCAGACTTTCGGGAATCCCACAGGGAATGGAAGGGAGACACTGAAGGACGAGGAAGAGGCGGCGGCGGTTGGGGATGAGAGGAGGAGGAAGGAAGAAGCGAGGGGGCGAATAGAAGGGAGAAGGAGATAGGAGGAATAGGTGAGAGGGGCGAATGGAAGGAGGAATAGGTGAGAGGGGCGATTGGAGGGAGGAAGAGACAAGGGGACGGATGGGAGGAGGAAGGAGGAGGATTGGTGAGAGGTGCGACTGGAAGAAGGGAGGGGGAAGAGGCACAATAGTAGGAGGAAGAGGCGAGGGAGATGAATGGAGGATAAAGAGAAAGGGAGGGGTATAGCAAGAGGCAAGAGGATTGAGGAAGAGAGAGGAGGAGGAATGGAGAAGAGTCAAGGAGGAGGAACGGAAGAGGGAGGATCGAAGATGATGAGGAACGGGTAACAGAGGGGAACAATGGATGAGGATGAGGCGAGGGAGAGGAATGGAGGAGAAGGAAAGAAAAGAGGAAAAGGAGAACTGTAGGAAGATGCAGGAAAGTATGGCAGAGAAAAATGGAAGGAGGAAGAAGGGAGAGAGGAGAATGGAGGAAGAAATAGACCTTGAGCCGCGTCACTTCTGCAGATCTCCGGGGATCTCGATGTGACCGATTTGCGCCGATCCGCACGGGCGTCAGCTGGACGGCTCCGCGGCTCGGACCCGGCTCACGCGGCTCGAGGTGGAGCTTTTTCGAGGTTGAATTTTTTCGAGGTTAAGCTTTTTGCATTGCATTCGCTTCGCCTGCGCCCATGGATACGTACCAGCTTACATACATGCCTATACATACGCCTGCACGTGAACTCCAACGTAATGCACACATGCACGTAAACGCACATGCATGTAAACTCCCTCCGAAATCTTCCGAAGTGGCGAGGCGGCATAGAGGCAAGCCGTGTTGCTTGACTTGCGAAATAATGCGATTAAAAGTTACGGCGCGGCTTAACACGAACGGCTGGCTTCCTCTGGCTTTTTTTCAAGCGCAGGGGCCTTCGTGATCGCCATGGAAACCTGGCTTTGTCGCAGTCCGATCGGTTTTATGGGCATGTCTTTTTTCTCTTGTGTGTGATTTAAGTTTTCCTTCGGTTATCTCGAGGAATCTTTATGGGGCACGCGGGGTCGGGAGTACTGCATCTCTCTCTCTCTCTCTCTCTCTCTCTCTCTCTCTCTCTCTCTCTTCTCTCTCTCTCTGTCTCTCTCTCTCTCTCTCTCTCTCTCTCTCTCTCTCTCTCTCTCTCTCTCTCTCTCTCTCTCTCTCTCCTCTCTCTCCTCTCCCCTCTCTCCCTCTCTCTCCTCTTCCCTCTCTCCCTCTCTCTCTCTCTCTCTCTTCTCTCTCTCTCTCTCTCTCTCTCCCATCTTCACTCTCTCTCTCTCTCTCTCCTCCTCTCTCTCTCTCTCTCTCCCTCTCGCTCTCCCTGTCCTCTCTCTCTTCTCTCTCTCCGTCTCTCTCCTCATCTCTTCTCCTCTCCTCGTCTCTCTTCTCTTCTCTCTTTCATCATTCCTTCATCCGATCTCTCCTCGTCTTCGTCTCTCTCTCATCTTTCGCCTTCCCCCCTCCCCCCCTCTCTCTCCTCCCTCCTCCTCTTCTCTCCCTCTCCCCCTCCTCCTGCTCCGCTTCTCCTCTTCTCCTCTCCTCGGTTCACTCTTCCTCCTATCTCTCCTTCTCGTCTCTCCTCTCTGCTCGCTCCTCCCTTCTCTCCCTTCTCCTCCTCTCCTCTCACTCCTCCTCTCCTTTTCTTCTTCCTCTCTCTCCCTCTTTCTCTCTCTCCCTTCCCCCCTCTAGCGCTCTCCACTCTCTCCTCTCTCTCTCGCTCTCTCTCTCTTCCTTCTCCCATTCTCCTCTCTTCTCTCCCATCTCTCTCTCTCTGCCCTCTCCGTCCCCCCCGCTCCCCTCTCCTTCGTCTCTCTCAGCCCTCCCTCTCCCAGTCGTCAT